GGGGCAACACACGTGCTTGTAGCAGAAAATAAATAAATCATTGGCCTGGTTTCTCACTTTTTAGGCACAGTTACAGCCTTAGTTAGACTAGGGCATGATATCTAATAATGTTGGATGCTTTTTTTTTTTTTTTTTTTTTTTTGAGATGAAGTCTGGCTCTGTTGCCCAGGCTCGAGTGCAGCGGAGCAATCTCGGCTCAACTGCAACCTCCACCTCCTGGTTCAAGTGATTTTTCTGCCTCAGCCTCCCGAGTAGCTGGGACTGCAGGTGCATGCCACCATGCCTGGCTAACTTTTTGTATTTTTAGTAGAGACGGGGTTTCACCATGTTAGCCAGGATGGTCTCGATCTCCTGACCTCATGATCCACCCACCTCAGCCTCCCAAAGTGCTGAGATTACAGGCGTGAGCCACCACACCTTTTAATTTCATACTATCTGGTTTATTCATTAACTTGCATAACAGTTACCTGAAATCACTGGAATGTAAACCTTCCTCAGGCTTAATTACTAGAATGGCTAATTCTTCTCTATCCACTCGTTTTAAATTTATATTTTAATTGAAAGGGAAAAATAGAATCTATTTATGATGTACATCACAATGTTTATATATGTATAATATATTGGAATGGCTAAATCGAGCTATTAACATATGCATTACTTCACAAACTTATTTTTCTGGTGAGAACACTTGAAATCTACTCTCATAGCAAATTTCTAGTATACAGTAGATTGTTACTAACTGTAGTCACCACAGTGTACAATAAATGTCTTTACTTTATTCCTCTTGTCTAACTGGAATTGTCTGGCAAAGTCTTTATCTCTCTTCATTTCTGAAGAACACATTTTCTGGGTAAAGTTTTCTCAGTTGGCACTCTTTTCCTTCAGCACTTTGAATATATCATTCCACCTTCTTCTGACCTGTGAAGTTTCTGTTGAGAAATCTGCTGCTAGCCTTACTGGAATTTCCTTACATGTGATTTGCTTCTTTTTTTTTCTTTCAGGATTCTCATTTTGTCTTTGATATTCGATAGCTTGATTGTAATGTGTCTTGGTATTCTCTTGTTTGAATCTAATCTGACTAGAGATCTTTGAGCTTCTTGTATGTGGATATTTACATCTTGCCCCAGATTTGGAAAGTTTTCTGCTATCATTTCTTTAAATACTCTTTCTTCCATTTTGTCTGTCTCTCCTCATAATTACCCACATCCAAAATTTGGTGATCATCCATGAATCCTCTTGGTCCTTTACCAAATATAGCTAATTATTTACCATATCTTGTGCATTCTGTTTTCTAAACAAATCCTGTACATGTCACTTCCTCTTCATTCCTACTGCAATTTCCCTATCATTTGTAGGATCCATCTACAAAATAAATCCTAAATCCTACAATTTTTTAAAACACAAAATTATGAAAAAAACACCTAGGTCGTGAAATACAATATTGCTGGTATCCCCACAAAACACATGTGTTCATTCTCAAATGAATTCTTTCTAAGAGGTAGTCACTATCTTGTCTTTTATGATAATCATGTCCTTACTACCCTTTATACTTTTCTTCCTGTGTATTCCTAAACAAGATAACTTAAATTTGCCCATTTTTGAACTTTATGTAAATAATATAATACTGTACGTATTCTTTTGATACTTACCATTTTACTAAAAATTTTGCTTGTGATATTTATTCATATTGTTGTATATAGCTTATTTTGTGAATCTTCATTGTCACATAGTATTTCATTGTATAAAAATAGATAATCCATTTTACTGCTAACGGAAATTTGAGTGGTTTATTGTTTGGGTCTCCCTTCTCCTGGTCTTTTTAGTTTTCTTCTTTTCTTATCCCTCTGCCTTAGCATCTTTCTTCCTGGACTCTTCTTCTCAAGATCCTTCCCTGTGTCTCTTGGCCTCTGCCTCTGTGTCTCCCCCTGCACTCTTTCCCAACTCCAATCTCTTCTTTCTTGAGTCCAGACTCTTACCTCCACCAGAAGCTATATTAGAAATCCCAGAGGAAAAAAATACTTCTTTTCTCCCAACATCTCATTTTCAGTGAAAATGTTTTTTGGCTCTACTAATGTCACTATATATCTCTTGTTTTAATCACTGTCTCCATGAAAATGATATGCTTTAACTGTCCAGATACTGTGGTAGGCGCCCATTCTACTTGGAAAAAGAAGTGGTGGGAAAGGAAAAAATGATGAATAGAAAAAAATAAAAGAACAAATATATAGTATATAACACAATAAGTAAATTATAAAATACAATGTTCTATGAGGCTGAAGGAATTCTAAACCAAAGCCATAAGGCTGGAGAGAAGAAGGAGAAAAGAAAAAAGCTCTGAGCCACTAGAATTAAATACTAAGCACTAGACTCTTGCACAAATGTCAAATCGGAATCATTCAGAAGGAAAGCAATACCCTGCACTATATAAGAAATAAAAATGCAACTAAAAGGACTAAACAAACTCAAAATTTTTAAAATAATGGATAGTAAAGGACTTTGGAGAATAATAGATTGCTATTACTAAAATTCAGGCTTAATATGAGGCTCAACCCAAAGCTAAAGGACTAAAACTTTGAGATGAGGGGAATAGAATTGAAACACATGCCACATTCTGGTAGGTGAGTATAGCCCACATTATAACTTTCCAAGGTTCTCAGACAGGTAGGTGTCCATATGTTTCGTTCAGGAATTTTAGTTGCATCCAGTGGGACACACAAGGAAATGTGTGCTCGCTCCATCTTAAACATCTTAATAATCAGAATTTTAAAAGGCATATATTGGTTTTGAAAAGACTATATTAGTTATCCACCAATACGACATGAGAACACTCTTTTATTCACAAGCCCACTGGTAATTATAATTTTGGCAGTTTCATGGGTATAAAGTGCTATCTCATTGTTATTATATTTTGCATTTCCCTGTAGGATAGTGCAATTGGAATTTTTTGTATCATATTTTTGCCCATTCAGATTTGTGGGTATATAAAAACATATATGCATGTGTATGTATGCAATGGGCTGACTTATGTTACCCCATCCCAAATTTATACCTTGTAGTCCTAAACCCCAGTACCTCAGCATGTGACTATACTTGGAGATACTGTCTTTAAATAGGTGGTTGGTTAAAATAAGGTCATTAGGGAGGGCCCTAGCCCAACATTACTTGTATCTTCATTAGAAGAGGAGATTAGGACAAAGACATATAAAGGAGAAACCATGTGAAGACAAGGGAGAAAACCATCTACAAGACAAGGAGAGAAGCCGCTGCCAACATCCTGATCTCAAACTTGTAGCCTCCAGAGCTGTAAGACAATAGATCTCTGCTGATGATTAAGCCACCCAATCTGCAGTACTTTATTATGGCAGCACTAGAAGACTAATACAATATATGTATGTTTTTATATATGATTATATAATTATAGAGAAAATATGTTTTAAAATGTGTTACCTGGACATAGAATGGTTGCTGAAAAGATATAATATAGAAAGAGATGGGGAATTAAAAGGGAGGGGGGAACCAAGTAAATATTGAAAGGAGAAAATAGTGACCAAATTTTTAAAATATGGATTATACGATCACATGTATTTGTGTATAAATTAAACATTTTTAGGTAACATAGTTGTTAGATTTATATGCACATAAAATGCATTCATTATCTGGACATCACTTTGGTTACATCAATTTTCTTCATCCAATGCTCACTGGACTTAAGTGCTGCTTTACTCACTATGCATGATGTTGGAGGCTTGGAAGTCTGGATCCTCAAGCTGCACTCCAGCTGCATTGGGGAGAAAGCGTTCCATATTCTCTGTGAGGTACCAGCTTTGATTCTCATCAAATACAGAAAATAGGATGACATTCCTCTTGTCTGACATCATCTGTTAATTACATATATTGAAAGGGGTAAAGAAATGCTACTGATGTTGTCAGGTAGGAGCTAGCAGTCTATGATGACAGCGATGGCATGTATGTGATATATCTGATCCTTTAGTTTAATTCCATTTCCTCTTAGGCATGTACCAAGGCTTGGGAGTTGGGGGTGGGTGCTATGAGCAGTGAGTATATGCTTACAGCAAATGTGTCCCCAGGACAAGAGGGTGACTGATTCCACTGAACTTGGTTTTTTCTGTATCCAAGGCCCTATGCTGGCTAATTTTTTGGTACAGTCTACAGCCTTATTCTCTACATGTTCAGATTAGAAGATTTAACTCTTTAAAGACCCAAGTGATTATTCGGTGTCTTTGTTAAACAAGTTAGTTAAGTCAAAAGAGATAATGACTTTGCAAAACTTCCGTCTAGCAACTGGCCTCCTACAAGGCTATAAAAAATTAAAAATAGAAATACAGAAATCAAATAACAATGATAAGGTGAACCACAAAAATGTCGAACAACACTAAAACCTTAAATTTTCAGTTTAAAACATTCAAATTTTTTTCCAGAAGAGCAGTTTGTATATGAACCAGATTTATGAGTTAGTGCTTGCTAATTGGATCTGCTAAGATTTCATATGTAAACCTCACTAATATGTATAAACTTCATTTTTTATAATCTATAGCTATAGAAACCAAAATACTGAAGGGAGGAGACTGGAGAATATAGAAGAATATTTCAGTTCTCTTTCCAAAAGTGGCAAAAAGACCTGTAATTAGGAAAAATCAGTCAGGACAAGTACTTGCCCTAATTTATACTTTTCTGAGTTTATGTGCTGCATGTTTTATTGGCACCAAAGTTCATATACTTTTCTCTCTAAACAAATGAAATGTTTTTAGACTAGTAGGGATCTTATGTATCATAAATATAATCAAGTAGACATGTAGTCAAGCCTCAACAATATGGCAATGAATTATTCTGGGGCCAAGCAATGAGTTTTTGTGAAGTTTGTATGAGTTTTTGTTTTTCCCTGTGTTTTGCCCAAAAATATTTATTAAACTCTTTTTTTAATTTGAGACAGGGTCTCACTTTTCACCCAGGTTGGAGTGTGGTGGCACAGTCTTCGCTTACTGTAGTCTTGACCTGGGCTCAAACAATCTTTCCACCTCAGCCTCCTGAGTAGGTGGAACTACAGGCACAAGCTGCCTAACCCAGGTTTTTTTTTTTTTTTTTTTTTTTTTTTTGTAGACACAAGGTCTTACTATTTTGCCCAGGATGGTCTTGAAATCCTGAACTCAAGAAATCCTCCTGCCTCAGCCTCCCAAAGTGCTGTGATTACAGGCGTGAGCCACCACATCCAGTCTATTAAGCTCTTACTAAGTGCCATGCACTGTGCTACATACTGCAGACATGTTAATTTTGAGGTGCTTTTGAGTCACCCACAACAGGAGATGTCCATGGGAAAAATCTAGGCTGTAGATATAAATTTGTGGGTCATCTGAAAACAGGTGGTAATTGGACATGCAAAAATGGGGAGGATCACCTAGAGAGAGCTAAATCCCAGACTGGGAATGAGTATTATAGGAAGAATCTACAGCCTACATTCTATGGCCTATCAATCCAGCAGGCAAGTTTACTACACTAAACTCAAATTCAGTAAAAGCTAACCTCCTTTCTTTTACTGACCTATACCGCAAACCACTATATTTTCTTCAGGTTATAAGGGGACATATACTGAGAATTTATGTGCATCTCATTTTTAGCTTCAATGCTAGCACTTGGAAAGGCGAGAACTCACCTGGTTTCCTCTTTGATCCACAGATTCTTTGTAGCAGATGAGGAGAGGGCCAATGAGTCCTGAAGCTAGATCTCTCTCCATATTAATGAAACTAGAGTAATAGCGTGTCAGGCACCGAGGATCTGATTTAGTTGGCCCATCTTCTACAGTCACTGTCCACTTATATTTGAATATTTCTCCTGGCAGAATTGGAAAATCCTTCAAATGTTTTACACCTACCCACAAGCAAACCCAGACATAGCTCAATTAGAGTACAGCAAGCCACATATTGGTAATCATGTTATTGCAAGGGTTCTACAAATCAGCAAGTGGAAGCTAAAGTCACACATTATAATTTTAAGATTCACACAATTTTTTAAAAAAAGTAAAAAGCTGTCATTGATGGGCATTTGGGTTGGTTCCAAATCTTTGCTATTGTGAACAGTGCCACAATAAATATATGTGTGCATGTGTCTTTATAATAGAATGATTTATAATCCTTTGGGCATATACCTAGTAATGGGATTGCTGGGTCAAATGGTATTTCTAGTTCTAGATCCTTGAGGAATTGCCACACTGTCTTCCACAATTGTTGAACTAATTTACACTCTCACCAAACTTAATGTATATATAAAAAAGTGAAAAGCTGTAATTGATTATCTGGTTCACTGTGAAAGTTTCAGGTCTGAATATACGCCAAAGAGCTTGGCATTGGAGTTTTAAGATGTAGTATCTGACCTCTGTGAGGAAAGGAAGCAAGAACTAAGATCTGCCTTCAAGGTAATGGATCCTTAGGACAAGAACTGATTTTAGTAATTAAGCCTCATTTTGGGTATGTTTAATACCTGAAGATTCAATACAAATCAAAATTATAATTTTATATTCATTCTAAGCTTTTCCTCATCTTACTAGGTTATGCCTGATATATGGTTAGAGAACCTATAGAAAGGGAATGGTGTTGAGGTCAGGAGTTCGAGACCAGCCTGGCCAACATGGTGAAATCCTGTCTCTACTAAAAATACAAAAATTAGCCAGGTGTGGTGGCAGGCACTTATAATCCCAGCTACTTGGGAGGCTGAGGCATGAGAATCGCTTGAACCCAAGAGGCAGAGATTGCAGTGAGCCAATATTGCACCAATGCACTCCAGCCTGAGTAACAGAGCGAGATTCTGTCTCAAAAAAAAAAAAAAAAACAGAAAAAGAAAAGGGAATGCTGTAGTATGTTCTTTCAATATTTATCAGCCTTCTCTTCCCTTTTCCAGGAACTCAGGGTGAGGGAGGGTAGATATTAGAAGAAAGGGCAAACAGAGTCTTGTTTAATAGGTCCTGCTGCTCTATCTTTGACAACACTATTTGGTCATCAGTGCTCTCTGTGTAGGAGGTGTCCAAATGCTGGGCTTTTCACAGGATACATGTATGGTTTCTTTAGAGTTACCACGGGGACCTGAGCACTACATGGTTCTATGTCATGAGAGAGGTTTCCTTCAGCTATTCTTCTGCAATGCTCCTCTCCCCATCAGCTCTTATTACTTTCAGTGATATATCCAAGACTATTGGTTCTGCTATCTCCTCAGCCTGCTTAGCTGCGTTCTTGGGCAGAACATCTTCAAAAGAGATAAAGCCCAGCTACTTTCAGCAGTATTCACTTGTTACAGAGGAAACTCATGTCAAACAGAAGAAAGGCAAGCTGCTCCACTCTTGCCCTCTCTTCTTGCCCACTATTATGGGCATTACAGACTTCAAAATTCTCCATGGAGAAAGCAGGTTACCAGTAACTGTATCATGTATGCCTCCAAATTTCAGGATACACATTCAAAATCTCCCCAGAACTCTGTAACTATGCCCTTCTTCCATAAAGAAATGCAAATAAAACTGGCATTAGAATTCTTATCAGCAATAATAAATATTAGAAAAAAGTGGAAGGAAAAAAATTTTTTTTAGATGGAGTCTTGTTCTGTTGCCCAGGCTGGAGTGCAGTGGTGTGATCTTGGCTCACTGCAACATCCACCTCCCGGGTTCAAGCAATTCTCCTGCCTCAGCCTCCTGAGTAGCTTGGATTACAGGTGCACACCACCATGCACAGCTAATTGTTTTGTATTTTTAGTACAGATGGCGTTTCACCATGTTGGCCAGGCTGATGTTGAACTTGTGACCTCAAGTGATCTGCCCGCCTTGGCCTCCCAAAGTGCTGGGATTACAGGTGTGAGCCATTGCACCCGGTGGAAAAATTTTTATAACCAGCCTGTCTATCCATCATGTGACACTGAAGGATTCAGAAAGTTTACCTTCTATGTACTACGTATTTAAAGGTTACATGAGGATATACTTCCAGAAAAACAAGAGAAGAAATAAAAAAAATAGAAATGTACAAGAGAAGAGAAGTTAATGCCATTAACTGCAAGAATGTCTTTAAGAAGAAAAAGGTTTGGTCCCAGCACTTTGGGAGGCCAAGGCAGGCAGATATCTTCAACTCAGGAATTCAAGACCAGACTGGGCAACAAGATAAGACCCCATTTCTACATAAAAATGCAAAAAAAAATTAGCTGGGCATGGTGGCGTGCGCCTGTGGTCCCAGCTACTCAGGAGGCTGAGGTGGGACGATAGCCTGAACCTGGAAGGTGGAGGTTTCAGTGAGCTGAGATCGTGCCACTGCACTGCAGCCTGGGTGACAGAGCAAGTCCCTGTCTCAAAGAAAAAAAAGATTTGGATACCAAGCAATAAATGGAATGATTATGAAGCTGAAAGGTCTAAGAAATATGGTGAAGAAGCATACATTTCTTTTCCTAATAAAAAAAAAGAAAGTCTTACTTCAGGATACAGACACAAATATTATAAGATCAATATGGTCCTAATATAAAAGCTAAAATTTAGCATGATGTCAAACTACTGATGGGGAATAAGGAAGGAGAATCTATTTGATCTTTTAATTTTTTTGACACATGTTAATTTTACATATTTACGGGGTACAGAGTAATATTTCAATACATGTATACACGTGTAATGATTGAACTAGGGTAATTAGTACATATCCATCACCTTAAACGTTTATCATTTCTTTGTGTTGGGAACATTCCAAATCATGTCATGTAGCTATTTGAAAATATATGTTATTGTTGACTACAGTCACCCTACAGGGCTATAGAACCTTAACACTTATGCCTCCTATCTAGCTGGAATTTTGCATCCATTAACCAACCTTTTGCTATTTCTGCCTCCCCTTCCCCTCTTTAGCCTCTAGTAACCATTATTTTATCTCTACTTCTATGAGATCAACTTTTTTCCTTCCACATATTATTTTATCTTAATAGTAAAATCACTTGAGCTGTAGAAAAGGGAGTAATCATATCATATTACCTAGTTCTGCAGTTAACATTTATAAAAAGAAACTTAAATACTAAAATAATACAAATGCTTTTTTTAAATTTTTTAAGTTTTAGAGAAAACATACAAAGCAAGGAAGAGTTATTTCAAATTACAGTACAAAATGTAAATGTTAACAAGTTCTTTTGTAAAAGTAAAGGAATGGCTAGCAGCAGTAAAGAAAAGAAAGGTTTGGGGAGAGGAAAATTAAGGGGTACAGTTTTTAACATCCTTAATTTATAAAATATGGAGTCAAAATATATTTTCCAATCATGATTGGAAAAATCCAATCATGGATTGAAAATATATTACTAAACGTGGATGTTTAGTATATTTTTAAAGTTCTAATGATAGCCAATTGAGGAACTGAAAACACTGATAAAACTGAAACAACTTGAATGGAAAGCAGCACAGTATTAAGTACTCACTTCACACAAAACAAAGTAAGTATATAATGTCACAAGTTGAAAAACAAAGAGTTAGCAGTACAGGAGGATCCAAGATGGCCGTTTAAGAACAGCTCAGGATTGCAGCTCCCAGTGAAAGCGCAGAGGGTGAGTGGACGCCACATTTTTATTGCCCACAGACTAGGAAATTCCCAGGCAGAGGAGCTCCACCGTCACCAGCACGGCTGTTTCGGCCGTGCCGGCCAACGCCACTGCTTTGCCCCATGCGGCTGCTTTGTCGGCGCCCCGGAGCCGTGGTTCTCTGTACAAAATACATTGGTCCGGGTGCCCTTTTGGCTGGCGACTGGAGCCACGGGAAGTCGCTCATTCGTCTGATTAAAAAGGGGACTGAGCAGAGAACCAGGACAGTAGATTCCAGGGCAAAAAAAAAAAAAAAAGGCGCCACAAACCTCAGTGCCGCTGTTTAAGCCTGCGCAGTGAGTGGCCGCAGGGGAAAACAAACAGACCCCGGCACCTCTTCAACAGGCGACTGGAACACCAACTTAAAAAAGGCTCTGAGGCAGGGAGCCAGGCGATCAGGCTCGGCTGGTCCGACCCCCACAAAAGAACAGCAATCAGAAACTCTGGATTGAGAGTTTCACAGCCAGCGCAGCTGAACCCGGGACGGTCCAGCTCTGTGGGGCAGGGGCGTCCGCCACTAGCAAGGCAGCCCACCACGACGGAGGTAGTCGGCCAATGCTGAGGCAGCCCGCCGTTGCCAAGCCAACCCGCCATTGCTGAGGCAGCCCGCAGTTGCCAGGGTAACCCGCCACAGCAGAGAGACTCCGCCTCAACAGAGGCGGGCCACCATCGCCAAAGTAGTTCTAACTACACCCATATAAACAGGACTGCAGGGAAGTTCACTCGGCAGCGGGGCGCAGCCCACAGCAGCTCAGCAAAGCCTCTACAGGCAGACAGTGACTAGGCTGCCTCCTTGCTGGGCTGGGCAGGTCTGAAGGAAAAAAAAAAGAAGGCAGCAGCATAATGGAAACTTATAAATAAAGCCCTAAATCCCTGGGACAGAGCACCTGGGAACAAAAAGCAGTTTATGAATTCTGCTGCAGCAGACCTAAACGTACCTGCCCAGCAGCTCTTACTGAACAACAGAGCTCACAGCTCACCATTTGAGCTCCTATAAAGAAGAGACCGTCTCCTCAAGCAGCTCCCTCACCCCTATATATCCAAAGAGACACCTCATAAAGGAGAGATCAGATTGACACTAGGCGGGTATCCTTCTGGGACAAAGATAGCAGAAGAAGAAAACTGGTAACAGCCCTTACTGTTCAGCAGCTGCTGCAGGTGAACCTCAGGCAAGCAGGGCCTGGAGTGAACCTCAGCAAACCTAGAGCAGAGGGGCCAGACTGTCAGAAGGAAAACCAAGAAACAGAAATAACCTCATCATCAACAAACAGAACGTCAATCTGAAAGAT